AGAGCTGGAGTTTTGCCAGGGGTTACAAAGAAAGAAAACAGGATTCAGGGGAAAGAGTGCAATGATCAGCCATGAACTCTAAGAACAAAAAGGGAAATGAATACAAAGGCAGGTACTAGTGGACAAAGAGAGATGGAAATGGACCTGAGGGCCTGATGAAACTGGAGAGCAAATGTGGTAAAAAAGTGAAATGCCTAATTCATCTCACAAGTGAAATGTTTTTAGGTGACAGCAAAGTCCAGAGTGTGATTATGGAAACAGGTGCCCAAGACAGAAGGAAGGAAAAGGCCGGTGGAGATATGGAGAACTAACAGGCTAGAATGGTAACAGAACAGTCCGTAAAGACAATGACATCATCCAAGATGATAGCAAAGTGGAGACAGAGTGGAAGACTGGGAACCAGGTGCCAATTTCGAAGGAAGAAGGGACTATCCAGTGAGTTAGTAGGATGACAGATAAGACAAGGGGGGAAAAGATGATAGACTCTAGGACAGCGGTTCTCAACCTAGACTCTAGAACAGCGGTTCTCAACCTGTGGGTCGCGATCCCTTTGGGGGTCACACGAACCTTTCACAGGGGTCGCTTAAGACCATCGGAAAACACATATTTCCGATGGCAATTCATAACAGTAGCAAAATTACAGTTATGAAGTAGCAACAAAAATAATTATATGGCTGGGGGTCACCACAACATGAGGAACTGTATTAAAGGGTCGTGGCATTTAGGAAAGTTGAGAACCACTGCTCTACAATAAAGCCTGAGCGATCCTTAAGTGGGTATAGAAATAAAGTTCTGGCTCTGGCCGGTTTGGCTCAGCGGTTAGAGCATCAGCCTGCGGTCCAGAGAGACCTGGTTCGGTTCCTGCTAAGGGCACGTACCTCGGTTGCAGTTTGTCCCTGGCCCTGGTTGGGTTGTGCGGGTGGCAGCCACTCGATGTGTCCCTTTCACGTCGATGTTTCTCTCTCCCCCTCTCCCTCCCACTCTATCTGAACAAAAAATGGAAAAATGTCCTCAGGTGAGGATAAAAAAGAAACAGTGTTCCGGAAGCAGTGCTGGAGAGTGAAGAGGGGAGGACATCTACCGAACCTCCAACTCTGAGGTGGGAAAGAAAATCATGCTCCACAGAATGGCCTCCAGACTCGGTGCAGCCCTGGCTATGGAACTGTCCATGCGACCAAGGTGAATGTCAAAAGCTCAATATACCTCGAGTTCTATGGTAAGGCTTTAAAAAGCAGCTGCATGTGTTCAAGTCAGGAGAGATTTGGCTTAAAGGGATTTCAAGAGAAAAAGCCATAGATATTGGAAGCAACTACATATAACTACCCCCAAAGTGTCTTGGTCACAAGGATTAGAACTGTAGACATGTATTAATTGTGATAGGCAGAATTCCCATTTTATTTTCTAAAATTAAGATGAAATAATCACATGTAATGCTATTTAAACAAATGTTAATTAGAAGGGAAAGATGATGCCCTTCTTTTATCTATTTTTAAGTAACTGTTAATCAGCAATAAAATTAAATTTAAGCAGCACATTAAGTTTTCTTTGATTCAACTTAAATAAATATTTTTAAAATCTCAGTTACAAAACTCCATTTCAATATTATAAATGTTAATAATTTGTGATTTTGTTCTTTCCCTAATTAGGTAATAGAGTACTAATGGATATGACACTGCCCACTGGTCTGAGAGGGTAAAAGGAATGTGTACATTTTGAAGTAAGGCAGTAAAAGAAGCCACCTTGAGTTACTTGTTTATTTCAATATAATTTTACTTTAAAAGCTCATGAATTCTTATTATGATGATGACATATATGCAGTAAGTTAAAACTGGGAGAAGAAAATAATAAGAGAAAATCACTGCAGACGTTTCTCCATTTATTTCCTCTTCAGGAAGTATGGTACTATGTTAGGTTTTACATGTATGTTTATAAAGATTGAGTGCCCCAATTTTAACTATATACTATTTTTTAACATTAAAAAATCTTATAGGTGCTTAAAAGAGTCCTAAATTTTGATTTGCTCTATCAGCAATACCTTAAAACCCTTCCGTGGCTTCCGAGCTTTGGGGATATTAGGAAGCATTAATGCAAATCCAGGGCATGTTCTTGTCTTTCTGTTTTCATATTACCAGACCTAACCAGGCATGCATAGCTGTCCAATTCACAACATACTCATACTACATAATCTGAGACTTTTGCAACCACATATTTTAAAGAACTCATCGAGCCCTGAAAGGCAAATGCTATCATTCAAGTTCTAATTACATGCTACCTGGCTTTTACAGAACAAAAGAAAAGTGAATACTGTACTTTCTAAATACGTTTTTTTTTTTTTTTACCACAGCAACTTATAAAATAAATGCCCCAAATATTTTCTGACTGTGTCACTATACAAATAACTCAAGCACTGGACTATGTTCTAGTTCTCTTTATTCACTTCTACTTGATAAACTGGTCAATAAATGCCAAGTCAAATATGCAAGTAAATATATTTTCATTATTATTGGCAGACATATAATTAACTCTGAGACTAAAAGAAACAAGAAATCAATTTATGATTACTTCTTTACTTCTTCCCATTAGTCATTTACACTGTAATTGTGGTGCCACTTCTAAAACCTTCATACACACATACCATTTGGACTACATATTATGAATCAAAATTCTTTCAATTACAAATTACTATATGAACTGTGGCCCTCATATGTTAATTTTATTAGTAAAATACAATTGTATTATTACCCCACATATGAGCTGATTAAAAAGCAATGCACATTTGTGAGACTATAGTAATTCGTCATTTCAGCAAATGTGTCTAAACAATGTGAGGGATTTGCTCTCTCTTATCTCAAATAAATATTTGAATCAACATTTTTTATGTATGTGTATACATCAACAAATTACATTTCCATTTTCCAGCAAAACAGGCTGCTAACAAAGAAAACATTACAAAGAGTAAACCTATTTTTCTTTTCCAAAATATTATTCAAAGAGTAATTTTTTTTTTAACACTTGATTTGTTATCTGTCAGGTCAGTATCTTCACAAATCCAGGGGGAAAAACGTTTTGTACAAAAACCTATATAAATGACCGTTTAAAAATACTGCCCTACACTAGATGCAAAAGCTTCATATACATTATTATATACAAAAAAAGTTTAAGATGAGCTCAAGAAATAATGCTGTGTACTTTAAGAATGGTGGTTTGTTTTAAAGTTATATGCTGTGGACTAGCCATTTAACCTCTTGGTTTCCTCCCCTAGAAAGGGGGATTAATGATGGTGCCCCATCATAGCCTTCCACCGGGATTAATGGAGGAAACAAGGGTGTAGCTTCTGGAACAATGCCAGCATATAGGAAGTGCTCAGTAAGTGTTAGCTATGCATTACCTAATTGTATATGTTTTGCCTATTACTTCTAATAGCTTCTAGTTACCAATCCTGAAAGGATCTTAATTCTTTTTAAAGAAAAAGAAAGCTACATCATGACCTTCTTAATGCTTTGCCCATCCCATCAGCTTTTAGTACAGCAGTTAGCAGCTAGTTTATCTGCTACTCACAGGCAAAACAGGACCTAACGTTTCACTAAATACTAGTCCCAAATTTTATTTTAAAAGACAGCATTACTCTCCCAATTACCTCAATACTGGTACTTATTAATTCATTTAAAAATGCAAATGTTTTATGTGCTAGGCACTGGATATAAGCTGTGGGAATAAAAAAATGGGTAAGAAAAAAAAAATCCCAGATACATTGCTCACAAAATAGTGAAGGATCTGAACACAAGTACATAGTGTTTAATTGTAAGGTGATGCACAGAATGTTATAAAAATCCTTTCCCAAGATGCCCAAGAGAGGGCTTCATAGGTGATATCTGTGCAAGACTTGGGAAGGAAGAGCAGAAGCTCTCCAGGTGGAGAAGGGATCTATGATAATTTTATTCAAAAAGAGAACTGGAAATTCCTCACAGTGTTAAGTTAAAATACACGTCTTAAGAAAACAGACTTCCTCAAACAGAATCCCAGCACAAACTGCTTGCTTACCTTTAAGAGGTGAATAAATAGCATTGCATGACTGTCCGCACCTGCCCATAGCAAGGCCTTCACTGTGATACACCTGGATGATCTTAGCTCCAATCCTCCCAGAGCTCAGGGAGAGCTTCTGAAAACCACTGGTATCACACACCTCCCCAATCAAAAACCTGCAATGGTTTATCCGCCCTCCAGACATCAGCCCTCTGCTTTGGGAGATTTCTCTCCCAATATGCCTTGGATACGTCTCCCTTTTGTTTATATCCTCCCCAGCCCCAATGCATTTCTCCGACTGCTTTGCCTCTCCAAAAGTCTACCCACCCTTAAAAATTCTCTTTCAAGAAGTCATCAGATTCCCTCGCTTCTATTTAAAATAACAGAACTTGCACTGGCCAGTTTTGCTCAGCAGCTGGAGCGTTGACCTGAGGACCAGGGAGTCCTGGGTTCTGTTCCCACTAGGGGCACGTACCAAAAATAAATAAATAGATAGAATAGGATAGATAGATTAGATAGATAGATAGATAGAGAGAGAGATAACAGAACTTTACAAATTGCTGAAGAGAGAGAAACAAAAGGGAGGCTCATTTGAAAGTTACATTCAACTGTTACATCCGACACTGTACACTTCTTAAATTATTTATGATTCAAAATATATATGCCGCACCAACTACTGATGGAACAATTATTTTTCCAATGACATTGTGCTCTTTTAAAACTTGAACCATCCCACGACATGGACAGTGTGTTCTTTATTACTTAAACGGGTTTCTTTGGGGCAAATGCATTTTGGACTGGAAGGTGTCACTAGGTTCCGAACGTTCAATATTCCCAGGCAACATGGACCTAGCTAACCAGCTCACTTGCCTGTTTCCCACTTGAAGAGCAACTAGTTAAACAGTAAAAGACCTTCCCAAAGGCAAGTTAAAACACCTTGTCAAGTGCTGATGAGCACGGTCTCTCCATGGCAATACCTTAGATTCCAACTTGACTTTCTCTTCTCTCAGCTCCTCTGTTGCTTTCTTCATTTTTTCACGACATCTGTTTATTTCCGACCTGACTGGAAGACAAATGAAATCCTTAAGCACATCCATCTTCCCGACGTCCCCGTGTCTGCAGCCCGTGCGAAGGCAGACCCTCTCCTCTGGGGCTCTGACACAGCTCTGGGGACCCTCTGCTCCAAGCCCCCCGCTGCACGAGGCAAAGGCCCCCGCAAAGGGCCCGGCGCCCCAGCACCTTCCTGCATCCAGCGCCGGCTCTCCTGGGCCTGGTGCTCCGAGAAGATGATGTGCTGAAACAAGGCTTCCAGGCTCATCTCGGCCCGCTCCCGGCTCCCTGTTCTGCCCTTAAATATTTTATCACCGAGCCTGAGGATCCTGGAGAGCAGAGCAAAGAAGGAGGATCAGTCTAGGGCTGCTCCCCCAGGGCCTCAGCTCCGGGTCCCCGGCCTGGTCCCCTCCGCCCCTCGTTCCTCTAAGACCGCGGCCTGGGCCCGGCCTCCTCCCGGGCCGCGCAGTCCCCCGGCCGTGGCCCTTCCTGGTTTCCCTCCCCTCGGGCCCAGGCCTGCCTCCCGCGCCCTCCTGTCCTCAGCCTGCACCTCTCAGCCCCTCTCCCGGGAGGTAAGGTCCTCAAAGGGCTCGCCCTGGGCCCGCGGGCCCGCGGACAGCACGCGGCCGGAGACCGGGAAGGCCGGGGCCTCGGGCGGAACTACGGCGGCTCCTGTGGCCCACTCTGCGCCCGGCTCGGCCGTGACCACGTGGCCCGCGGAGGTCGGCGCAGGAGCGATCTACCTGCAAGGCACAGACACCCAGCGTTAGGAAGTGGACTATCTATCCGTGGTTCTAAATATAGACTGGTGCAAAGTCTTATCCGAGGCGAAGATAGCTACAAATGAGCAGTGTCTGACATTCCGCCTTGATCATGCCTTTGTAATCAGGGCATCTCTTTTTGGTCTGCTTTAAAATTAATCATTGCCTTTTGTAATCAAGCTGCAGTAATATTAACACTTAAATATCTGCGCAGTATGTGTCAGAGACCAAAGTGGTTGCTAATTAAAGCTTAAACATGAAAGTCACCTTTGGGCCTTCCGCATGGGATTTTTTTTTTCCAATTAAAAAAATAAAATATGTTTAATTTTAGTAGGTCAAATATTATGATTACAATAAGCATTTGACTTTAGTCCTGATGGCTAAACTTGAAAAAGTAATTTCTGTTTAGAATGTGTTCAGAATTAAGTAAAAGAAGGAAAATATAATTCCTGGTACATCATCTGTATAACAGACAATATTTCATTCATGGTGTAGAATAATCAGTCATAAATTTTAACCTCTTCCAAATTTCCACCTTAATTTCTAACAAGCCATGTATGCATAAAACTTGTTTTAAACTTCGTTGTGAAAGAATACATACTGCAAAGGGTGATGAAGTAGAAAATAATTGCTCTCAAACATAATATTCAGAGGCAAATATTAATATTTTGGTTATTGCCTTCCAGGTAATCCTCCTCACCTTGTATTTTTCATCTAAAACTAGAAAATATTGTGAATAAGTAGTAATAATTATTATTTATTGAGTAAAGTTGCCAGGCACTATTCTGGACATTCTCAACCTTTTTTGATGAGTTTTACTACTACCTTCATGGTGTAGTTGAGGAAACAGGCCGAGTACAGTTCGGTATGGTGCCAAATTTGCATATCTAGTTCATGGCAGAGTGAGCTCTGAAATCCGGAAATCCCAGATCAGAGGCCATGAATTTAATTTTGGATTCTGCTCTTTTCCCTTGTATTACATCACAAGCATTTTAGCATTTCATTGATAACTCTCCATAAATAACATTTTTTACAACTTCATAATCCTCCATCATACAGATGCCTGTGTAAAATTTAGATATGCTGAAATAAATTTGACTCTTTCCTGTTCAAGGATGGAACACAAAGCTGAAGTTCTTTGAGCGCTCGTTTAGAGGCTTATGAACTATGCTGTAGCAGCCATCAAAGGATAGGGCTTCCTGAAGATAAATTATATTACTAATTAATATCACTCCTTTCAGGATTATTTCCCGTGGACTTGCACAGGGAGCATCCGCATAAGGAGGCTGATTTTCAAAAGTATGCTGCTCTTTAACATTCCAATTTTATTAGTTACACTCAAACTCACATGTATTATTTAGCATGCTCTTTCTGCACTGAACCTTGGCAGAGAGAAATTCGGGCAGCCTTCAGGGAGGCCTGTCGCCTCACTCACACAGCAGTGTGGAAGAGAGCTGCTGGAAATGCTGGGAAGGGGGTAAAGGGAGAAATGGCTTCTTCATCTTCTGCAGTCTTCTTCAAATCTCAGAATATTTGGTGCTTTTAAATCCTAAATCCAAGTCTTTTTTTGTTTTCTCAATTTTTATTAATTAATTTTTGTTACGGATGTTTCTCCTTCCCCCCACCCCCCGCGACACTCTCCTTTCCATCCGGCGGCCCCCTCCTCAGCATTGTTATCTCTGTCCACTGGTTACACATACATGCTTATAAGTTCTTTGGTTTTTCTCATCCATCCTCCCTGCTCCCCTCCTCTGAAGCTTGTCAGTCTGAACCGTATTTCTTTCAATGTCTCTGGGTCTATTCTGTTCATTATATTCCACAAATAAATGAGATCATGTGGTATTTGTCTTTCTCTGATTGGCTTATTTCGCTTAGCATAATGCTCTCGAGGTCCCTCCATGTCATCTCAAAGGATAAGAGATATCTCTTTCTTACAGCTGCATAGTGTTCCACTGTGTAAATGTACCACAGCTTTTTAATCCATTCATCTACTGATGGACACTTGGGCTGTTTCCAGATCCTAGCAATGGTAAATAGTGCTGCTATGAACATGGGGGTACATATATTCTTTCTGATTGGTGTTTCAGGTTTCTTAGGGTATATTTCTAGAAGTAGGATCACTGGGTCAAATGGCAGTTCGATTTTTAATTTTTGAGGAAACACCATATTGGTTTCCATAGTGGCTGCACCAGTCTGCATTCCCACCAGCAGTGCACTAGAGTCCCCTTTTCTCCACACCCTCGCCAACACTTGTTTGATGATTTGTTGATGGCAGCCATTCTGACAGGTGTGAGGTGATACCTCATTGTTGTTTTAATTTGCACCTCTCTGATGATTAGTGATGTTGAGCATTTCTTCATATGTCTCTTAACCATTTGTATGTCCTGTTTGGAGAGGTGTCTATTTAGTTCCTCTGCCCATTTTCTAATTGGGTTCTTTGTCTTCCTTTTGTTGAGTTGCATGAGCACTCTATATATATTGGAAATTAACCTCTTATCTGATATATCATTGGCAATGATATTCTCCCATACAGTAGGTTGCCTTTCCATTTTGATGATTGTATCCTTTGCTGTGCAGAAGCTTTTTAGTTTGATGCAGTCCCATGTGTTCATTTTCTCCTTTATTTCTGTTGCCTTAGGTGATGTATCAGTGAAAATTCTGCTGCATATGATGTCTGAAATTTTGTTGCCTACATTTTCTTCTAGGATTTTTTTTAGATTCATGAGTCACATTTAAGTCTTCTATCCATTTTGAGTTTATTCTTGTGTATGGTGTAAGTTGGTGGTCTGGTTTCATTTTTTTGCATGTAGCTGTCCAATTTTCCCAACACCATTTATTAAAGAGGCTCTCTTTACTCCATTGTATGCTCTTGCCACCTCTGTCAAATATTAATTGAGTATATTGCTTTGGGTCCATTTCTGGGTTCTCTGTTCTGCTCCACTGATCTACATGCCTGTTTTTGTGCCAGTACCAGGCTGTTTTGATTACAATGGTTTTGTAGTATAACCTGAAATCTGGTAATGTGATCTCTCCAACTTTGTTCTTTTTCAAGATTGCTGTGGCTCTTCAAGGTCTTTTTTGGTTCCATAAGAACTTTTGAAATATTTGTTCTAGTTATGTGAAGTATGTCGTTGGTATTTTGATGGGGATTTCATTAAATCTATAGATTACTTTGGGTAGTATGGACATTTTAATGATGTTAATTCTTCCAATCTATGAACAAAGTATGTGCTTCCACTTTTTTTATATCTTCCTCTATTTCTTTTTTCAATGACCTGTAGTTTTCTGCGAATAGGTCCTTTATTTCTTTGGTTAAGTTTATTCCTAGGTATCTTAATTTTTTTTGCTGCGATGGTAAATTGGATTGGTTTTTTTAGTTTCTCTTTCTGTGAGTTCATCATTAGTGTATAAGAATGCCATCGAGCCCCGGCCGGTTTGGCTCAGTGGTTGGAGCATCGGCCTGCGGTACAGAGAGACCCGGGTTCATTTCCCACTAAGGGCACGTACCTCGGTTGCAGTTTTTCCCCGCCCTGGTTGGTCATGCAGATGGCAGCCACACGATGTGTCCCTTCACATCGATGTTCCTCTCTCTCTCTCTCTTCCTCTCTCTCCCTCCCACTCTATCTGAACAAAAAATGAAAAAATGTCCTCAGGTGAGGATAAAAAAAAAAAAAGAATGCCATCGATTTCTTGACGTTAATTTTGTATCCTGCTATTTTGCCAAATTCATTAATTAAGTCTAGTATATTTTTGATGGAATCTTTGGAGTTTTCTACGTATAGTATCATGTCATCTGTAAATAATGACAGTTTCACTTCCTCCTTTTCAATTTGGATCCCGTTTATTTTTCCTTCCTGTCTGATTACTATGGCTAAGACTTCCAGTACTCTGTTAAATAAGAGTGGCGAAAGTGGGCATCCTTCTCTTGTTCCTGTTCTTAAGGGAAATGCTTTTAGTTTTTGCCCATTGAGTATGATATTGGCTGTAGGTCTTTCATATATGGCCTTTATTATGTCGAGATATGATCCATCTATTCCCAGATTGCTGAGCGTTTTTATCAGAAATGGGTGCTGGATTTTGTCGAATGCTTTTTCAGCGTCTATTGATATTATCATATGATTTTTATCTTTCATTTTGTTTATGTGGTATATCACATTTATTGATTTGCGAATATTGTACCAGCCTTGCATCCCTGGGATGAAACCCACTTGGTCACGGTGAATAATTTTTTCGATGTATTGCTGGATTCGATTTGCTAGTATTTTGTTCAGGATTTTGGCATCTATGTTCATCAGGGATATTGGTCTGTAGTTTTCTTTCTTTGTAGTGTCTGTTTCTGGTTTTGGAATTAGGATTATGCTGGCCTCATAAAATGAGTTCAGAAGTCTTCCTTCTTCTTGAATTTTTTGAAATAGTTCAAGGAGAATGGGTATTAGTTCTTCTTTGAATGTTTGGTAAAATTCCCCCATGAAGTTGTCCAGGCCTGGGTTTTTGTTTGCTGGGAGAGTCTTGATTACATCTTCAATTTCTTTTTTTGTTATTGGTCTGTTCAAGTTTTTTTT